CTGACTCCATTCACTCCTCCCCATTGTGCAATCTTCATTCTCTTCGGTATTGCAGCTAATCAAAGCGCAAACGGACACTCCGGCTTCACCAACCGAGGCGTCTACACCGGTACCCCCTACACCTCCATCGGATTTGACTAGCAAAATTATCCCAATATCCCCAACCAGTGCAAAGCGAATGGGTGCCAATCAAACCCAGATTGTCCCCGCTAGTTTGCACTCTGATCGTCCCGGCTCCCAGTCCCGTGGGTCCCTAATCTCCCGGAAGAACCCCACTTCAGCACGTTTTCCCCGACCCACTATGAGTATGGGCGGGTCACATCCCCATGGAGTTCCCGACAGGTAGCTGTTTCCTTTTGATATTATTGCCACTGTAGCCATCTGACCCTTCGAACATTGTTTGACCTAAAAGTGTGAAACGCCTTGGGCAAGCTGGTGTTTATGCCCCGTGATGTTAACCTTCTCCGAAGTGTATTATCATATTATTATTCAGTGATCTGGATCTAAACTCAGTTTCTCTAATGCATGTAGGCGGTATTCACTCGTACAAAAAATGTTTTACGCTTTGGACAAAACCGGTAGACCGTAAATGTTTTTGTTTATTTGTTTTTCCTATGCAGCTTCATGCGTTCCATGAGTAACCATCCGCGTGGTGCTCGTCCTCCTAGAGCCTTCTCACATGGTATGGTAAGTTAAAGTTACTCAGCTATGAGGCACTGTTGCCATGGTACCCTAAATAACGTTTTATTTTGTCTGTATGTGTCTAAGACGAGAACTAAGCAGAAGAGGGTTTAAAATGCATTGCGTAATGAGGTATGGGCTTATTTTAGGATAGTACGAATAGTTACCGAATCGACTACAACTGCTGGGATGTATTGACTACTATTTGCAAAACAGACTCACATGCTCTAACGCGTTTCTCGCAGTTTCTCGTGCACAAACGCAGGAGATTTACTTTTGTTCACTAAGCAGATTAGCTTCATGTCGACTGAACTCCTCACTTCCCCAGTAAATTATTGCAAGCACTGTACCGCGGCTCCCTCTGTGTTAATTGGTGCATATTCTTTGTGAACTCAGCCACGAAGGTTTGTAACCCCGTATAGTCTATTTTTATGGTACCTCAATCACGCTTTGTTTCATATGATTTCACTCTGATATCGTTGAAGGCAGTCGGTGACTCCTTCGTGGCGTTAAGCTACTAGGACTGTTTTCTTCTTCTAGCAGCTGAGGGCACACCGTGCTGACTTCAATAATCTAGCTGTCTTCTTCTTGCTCCTTGCCATGCCGCATAAACGTAAGCTTGGCGCGCCAAAAATGTATACTGTCTTCTTTCTGGTTGATAAACTCCCGATGGTAATTTAACTATTCTTTCCTGTTTTCTCCTTCTTTCTCATTCAGCATCGACCGAAAGCAGGCGCATTTAAAGGACATGGTAACTGGCCAAGTGGACCTGTCGATTTTACTGGATCTGCTCCTTCCTCAGGCAATGAACCTCCCGGCCCCGGAGGTCCAATGCCACCGGGCCCTTGGCGGATGCCTGGTGGTGCATCTGTTCCTGGAACCTCTGGTGGTGGGGGTCCGCAACAACCGTACAATCCTTCAAATCCACCTCATGTAATGCCTATGCACGGTTTTCCGTCGGGTGGATCGCGCCCAATGCAACACCCGCCTGGTGCTTTTGGAGGTGGAGGAAGCATGTACGGGGGATCCATGTGATGATTCCCTCACTGTTTGTTCTCTTTCGATCGCGTCTCTCAACACCCTATGTTCTCCACGAGAGTCCCCCAATCAGCCAACCAACCCCTACACTGCCTCCCCCCCCCAGACACCTAGTCCCCGTCTGTGTCTGCTCGCATTCCCTCCCACAGAACACACCATGGGGCTGCGGTTTTAGGGCTGTGTACACATTAGACTGCACGACTGAACACACGCGAATGCGCACATGCACACACACATGACACTCACCGTCCCCTCTCTTGCCTATTTACTTTGGTGTAAAAAGTTTCATCATTTTTCTCTGATCTGCCTCATTCACTCTTATTATTGCTATTACTGGTATTGTACTACTACTACACTTGCAAATAGTAAATTGTGTTTGTGATACTTCGATTTTTTCCATCATGGATGGATTTCTTCAATGCGTTATACTCTGCCTGTTACAGAGTCAGAGTCACTGCGATACAAGAAGCACACGACATCTTTAGATATTAGGCAACACTGGGTTTTGATCTTCAATTCGTGTTATGTGGCCCAATAACGCATGCAAAGCCCTGGATGAGGAACGCACAGTGTATCCCGCAAAAATTAGCACTGAGCACGATCAAGTGAACAGACGGCTTGGGCAGTTATTTTTCGAATGTGCTACGGACTCGACGAGAATTCTTAACAAGATATCTCCTAGTTTGTAATCTCGGCGTCTTGAGACTGTATAAGGCTGCATGGAGAATAATTCAAAGAACATCAGGGTGCGGGTTGATGAGGACGCCCGGTTTTGTGAAGAATCACTGGTTGTTAGGTACCTCTCGAATGACGGTTTACAGTAGGCCTGCAAAACAGAAAAGCAACTCCATGAACCGCAAAGATTCACTGAGATGCAAACACACTGGCACACACTTCGAAGGCGATGAGCATACAGATAATAGTCAAGTCCCAACGATACAGCATGAGTACCTCACCAACCGCGTTAATCGTCTAGCCTCAACTCACAATTACATCTAAGTATAACCCGTCTACTACCACTGGTAGTCTTCTTACAGCTTCCAAAGTAAGATCAGAGTGTGTACTAGAGGCCAGAAGCAAATTAACCGTATGAGCTTATCTCCTCACTCAATACACTCTTTCGGATCATCCGTATGGGGGACTCAAAAACTGATGCAAAATGGGGAGTTCATGGAATGCTCCGGTAAGTGAACAGAAGTTTTAAAAGTGTGAAGAAATGATTGAGGTTATCAAAAATGGTCAAACGCAAGAATAGACAGCTTTGTTTAGCATTTCGTCATGCAAAACCAGTTAAAAGCGTTGGCAACTCACGTGATGGTTACCTTTTGTGCTTGCTAAAAAGTATTCATTCTTATCTACTGAAAATAGAATCTAAACGGAAGATTTTCTTGACTTCAAGTGATAATCACTCCTCGACGATTAATTTTTTTTTTACCAAAGCGGGTAGTCAGTGGAAAAAGCTTAACGTGTCATGGAAATCCTAACCTACGAACTCATTCATATACATTTTCGGGCTGTAGACTTCTGGTTTGAACTAACCAATGGCTATAAGTTGGGTGATATAGCCATGCTCTTAATCATGGCACATGTGTATTTTACCTTCCTACATGGACTTAGTTTACTCTCATTCTGCATCTGAGACTTCATTTTCCTCACACCTTTTAAGTGCTTTCATCTACTGTCATTGATCGGCCAAATGGAGTCCCACGGACAGTAACCAGGATCGACGTACGACATTGCTAAGATAATGGATATCCGTAATTGTTTAAACAAAGAACACGACACTGCAAGCGAGCACGATTTAATTCCGGAATCATTTCGCTGCATCTCGACTGGTGCTCACGGCAGAAAGAATAGTTTATACATCACAGGTCATGACAATCTGACATGGTATCAGTTCATTCTTCCGCTTATGTGGTCACAAGAGCAACGCTATACTGATGTAGACATCCTTCTGCTGACCGTAGGGGCTTTCAGCGCTCGAACTGTATGGCATCTGCAAATTTAGCGGCCGTCCATTCGGGGCTGTGTAAACAATCCGAAACGAAGTCCCACGATCAGCTTGATGGCCAGTCTGCAGCAGATGGCGAGCAATTGATGCCGCAGGTGTTCTGTGAGACTGGCTTGATGGCCTGGTTGTCTGTGTAGCGCTCAAGCTCAGTTGTTTATTTCAATTAGCAGTTTTACTCAATGGGGTTCAGTCCTATACACCTACTTTACACCTCCACCAACTGTTTGAATTTTTGTTTCGTTGACCTGATCCATCGTATTGAACATGTGTTCTCCCTGCGCCAACCAGCTTACATGGAGGCTGTTTAGTCAGTTGTCATTTTCACTGACCGCCAGTCAGTTAATTTAGCCCGAAATTAATTTAAAGCGATAGAATACTCTCGGTAACTCCAATCGAGGACCTTACCAAATGGGAGGCCGAAAGCCAAAAACTAATCTAAGCATGAGTGATGGGCTTGATTGCTCAAACGTTGTGGGCTGATTAATCAACGAATCGGTGATCGGGTTGTCGTTCATTTGGGTTGTTGTCCGACTGACTCTTTGATCGTCCAACCAAATAAGGTGGATAATTCATTTGGTGTGATTTCTTAACCTGTCATGCTCCCGTGGTATTATAAAATTCTCAGCTGGATTTCGGTAGTTAAGTTTGTTTTTGAATTGTGAAAGGTTCGATAGCCCCAATCGAATTGGAACCGACGCAAGGACGCCACCCACGCTTTTGTGCAACGCATACTCTATCAGCTGTTGGAAGGGTAAACCAAATGTCGAGAGATCAGTGCTGTCACTGTGACCTGGTAGCTCATCTGGTGGGGCGTGCGCCGTGCATAACTTTAGGCTTAGTCCGGATTATGTTCGTGCACTTTGAACACGCGATGAAAATGAAAGCAGCTTCCCCCGGAGTCATTTTGCATGTCATCCGTCATGGGGATCTGATGGATGGTACGCGAAATTGATCCACCAGTTTAAGTTCTCGAACCGTCGAAGGGGGTTGTGAATATGAACTAATGCACATTTGGCTCTAGACCTGGAGGTCGTTTTCATATTCGAATAAATGAGTGCGGAAACCCCCTTGTGACGTAAGTTTCAGAAAGTGAGATGTGTTTTTAAATCCACCTCTCGGGACTTTGTTTGCCAAAATCAAGATTATGAACAATCTTAGCTATGTTCGTGGTATGCAGGTTAATGTTAGACCGTTTCAGTAGTTGTGACTCAGAAGCCCATCAAGATGTGTTTCGTTGTACTCCATGACAACGGTTTATCGGTCGGATCTACCTTACTTAGTATTGACGAAAAAATGATCGTTATTATCATTAGTAGTATATAATTCTCCTACCAAGTTGACTACTAAAACATCTGTAGTGACAGTTTACAGTCTCTATGCGACCAAAACACATTTTCCACGTGACCTTCCATCCTCGCTACTCATGCGTGTAAAATTGGATGTGATTCTTATTTTCTACGTCATCTTTAACCACCCTAGTTTAACACCCACGTCCCCGAAAGCGATTTTATCGTAGTTTGTGAATTTTTCAACTCATAAATCTACCCGCATTTCGACAAATCAATAACGGAACTTAAGGTGGATAGATTCGTGGAAATCTACCAATTAGCTGATTCCGCATTTTCTAAATCATCCGATAAATCTATGGAAAGGATTTGCTCACACATTTGAACAGGTGTGAATCATGATCGCGCATGGTTCGGTGATTGTGTTCACGCTATTCGTTATCGTTTCCGGTCACTCAGCCCAACGTGAAAGTGAGTCCTATTGAAGGCAAATAGCTAGTGGTCTGTCCTTGCCTACTGATGTTAATCACAGGCGAAATAATGGGACTTCCTGCTAGCTTCAACCGATATAGCGGGGTTCTTACGCACATTTCTCGTCAGAAATGATCAATTTAACTGGCCCCACTCTGTAATCATTTCAATAGGGATGCATGTATCAAGCTCTACTTATCGTAAATGTTGCTTGTGATCATATTTTCTATACGTATAACCAACTTTTCCATGTACATTTCTGTTTTTGTAAACCTATTGAATCACTAGGCTTATTGTGTCCTTGAACATTGAGTTTCCTTTATTGATTTCATCCATATCACAGCGAGACAAATATGTTAACATTTCGGTTAATCTCCTCGAACGCTGACGTAAAACAGACTGTTTGGTGTATAGCTTACTGGGTTGGAAATTTGTATTGACCGAACGTGTACAAGCAAATAAAGATTACTAAACATATAGAAGTGCAAGTTCAACCCCACAATAATTGAACTAAACTTGTGTTAAGAACTTTAGCATGCATGAAATCCGATGAGCTAATCGAATGAGCTACTCTTCACTAGTTGTCGTAAGTTTCGCATTACGAATACGTAACGGTGGTTTGAAAGAAAATGGGGGTTGACTGTGTGTTTTGTTTTCTTGAGGTTTGGTGCACCAGGTGTTTTGTGATCTAACCATCGGTTGCTTGTTGTGTCATTGATTTTGTCAACCACTTGGAATGTGTTGTGAAATCTGACTCTTTGTTCCACCAGTGTATGCGTCATCTTAACTGCAAGTGAACTGGTACACACTGTGAGAGACAGAACCGGTTTTCCAGCCACATTTGCCCAGATCATTTCCGCGGGTGCAGGCAGAGTTTGAGCTGTACATCTGTGAATGTGGTGTCTGTAGAGCTGACCTCAGCTTTTGACGCACAAAATGGGAAACGAATTCACCTTTGGATGTAAACTTCATGTAGACCTCTTTTTTTGTCCACATTTTGTGTTGAGTTACCTTTTACGGATCATCTACTAGGATTATCTATTAACGTTTTTGGGTAATCATTGTCGAGCAATTTCCTCCTCCAGAATCGCTCTTCTAAATGCAATATATCTGGAGAACAAATGTTTCTCGTTCGATGAAATGGGATTCTCACAGATTGGTGTTTGTATTCCATGGGGCAAAAGCTGAAACAGTACAGTCAATGGCCACTCCATGTTGCCTTTCGGTAAACAAAATGTTCCAATTTCACATTCAATATTTTATCCAGAAAAGCAAGAGTATTGCTAGTTTTTGCTACATGAGATAGAGAGAGAAGTCCTAAGGGCTGGGGTTAATGGTTGTTAAATTTGTTCGAGGTGTTTATCATCTGTAAGAATAAAAATGTCGTCCACGTAACGTTTTTTCAAACTGAACTTGAAAATATTATCACTTATTTTTGTTCAATCATCCCCTCAAATCATGTCTGCCAAATGCCAATGCTTCGCCGTCAGTCTGCTTGTATGTGGTTCCACCAAACTCAAAATAAATGTATACTGTACAGTAACCATGAATATGGAGCGGAAAACTGTTTAGATGAATATAATCACAAAAATTCCATTGTTTCATGAAGTGGTACTTAGGGTAAAAGCGAAATCACGGTTATTGAATACATCCTCCGTAGGTGTACTGTAGTATTTCCCAAAACCTTTGAAATTTCGAAAGATTTTTTTATACAATGAGGCGTTAGAGACTTCTGAATGAGATCAAGAATGTTTATCAACAATCGGGTGAGTCCGCGAACAAGTGAGTGTTCATGTACATAGTTAATCTGTATGGGATCCCGAGTTGGTGAAATTCAGCTGAACCTCGCATTCGTAATGTTCTATTTCCTATTGGCTTCAGTTGCTTGTATCGAGCTGCAGAAATGTAAACACTGAGCAATTTATCCTGTGACTTTTTGTGATAACAGTTTTATTCAGATGATTGTTGTTTGGTATATCGTTGAAGAATGAATTTTCATCGATTTTCAAGCCGATACAGTGGTAAAAGAAAGAGACGAAACACAACGGAGCGTGGAAAAAGAAAAAAAACAAAAGCTCATTGCAAACAATAAAACAACCATACTAGTTAACCAAAACACCATGTCATGAGATGTTTTCCATCAAACCTACAATAAATTTTACCTGGTTCACTGGTAAACAGACAAGATATGGGAGGATACTGTTTGTTTATGTGTATGCTAGAAGGAGAGCTGGAAGGTAGGTTCGACACAGATTTGAGAAGTTTGTCGAGCGAACAATGATCTTCATGGTTGATCAAATCATACTCCTCTATTTCAGATTGCCTTAAAACATTGCGTGCCAACTTCGCTTTTATTGTGGATGCATCAGACACAACAGAACATTTCGAGTTTGAGTTTTATGTCAAAGAATACATGAACGACTTAGTGCGGAAGGTAAGCTAATTCATCCTCAAGTTGAACGTAGTAAGTTTCATTTTAAAAGCTCGACAAACGGGACAACATTACTTGTTCTAGTCTCTATGTACGAAATCCTGGTTCCTTTTTTACGGAACAGTAGCTCAAATCAGCAGTTGCCTTCTAATATCGAACACAAAATGCCCAAAAGATCTAGTTTGATTCATCGAATTCATATTTCAGTTGTTTGCGGTCGAGAATCGGGCGAACACGTGTCAATCGACACAACTGGCCGTTTCATCCGCGTATGTGTGATGTGTTAGGCCTCCACCAGCGTAACCAACTCCTCTCCCCAACGACGAAGCACTTCATTGTATCCAGTGTCATTCCATAAATGAGCGCTTTCTCGTCATTAAAATTTAGTGCGCCATTTGCCGAACACTAAAAGTAGTAGTAGTAGTAGTAGTAGTAGTAGTAGGCTGATTTTTCCCTTTTTTCCGGGTTTTAAGAATTTTTTTGAAAATCGCGACCCGTTAACAACCCAGACGTCCTTTGACTCGACCAAGTCCATCGCACAGCTGAATACTCGGGAATGTTCTATTAGTAACTGGGATACATATATATCTTTATGGGTCATTGGGATCTGTTCTAAAGAGAAAATGCTTTGAATTGCTTGAGGATCTAAGTCATTCACTTGAATGAATAATTCGTTGTTATTAAGTCATTTTCTTTTTTCCAGTTGCCATGGCACTGTCTAGCTTGTTTTAGACTGGTTCTAAGGCCTCAGTTTGCCGTATTAGTATTACTTGCCACCATGGCGGCCTGCGTATGTGTTGGAGTATGGGATGGTTCATCGATTCCTATTTCATCTGATAAGTTTTTCGTTCCGGTGGATAATACCTGACTGTCTCAAGTCTGTTGTTTAATGGATTATTGCTTTTTAGATCCTAGTCTAAGGTGTCTGGGTTAATTCGGGACATACTACAGAGTTAACTAGGCTTACACTACAAAGGGTATTCGCATCTTTAACCCGGGACTGGACAACGTTGTCGTGGTTTTATCGTAAATAGTCAATTATCAGGACTAGGCTAACTTGTTTGGCTACGGTCTCCTAAAGTAAGAGGTTACCGCATGAAGATGCCACTATTTGTCCAAATCCATTTTCTGCTATACAACGCAGAAATTTGGCCATTAAGAAAACAGAATAAAGATAGACTTTCGGTGTTCGAACATCGCTGTCTAGGCAGCACAGCAAAAATATGGTGGGGCAACTGAATCTTAGAGAGGGACAGCTTAAAAAAGCAACCAAAACCACCGCACGAAAATACGTGGTTTTTCTTTGTTTAAACTGGACAGTAAATTTAAGTAAAGAAACTTTCTTCTATAATTGAACAGCGTAGTTAATATGTATTGAATACATTTTGAAATGACAACATTTATCGAGGAATAGTATAAAGTAATTGTTTCATTCAAAATCTATGATTACAAATTCCTTCACTTGCATATGTTCGGCAAGTTATGTAGGACGAACGATGAGACACTTCTCACAAAGGATCAGAGAACATAAACCGGTTTGGCTTAGCACTGGTTGGAAGAAAAGAATAACCAATGCGATTGTGGCCCACCTCGCCGATACCGGGTACCAGCTAGACAATGAACCATTTAGTTATTTACAAAGTACCCAAAAACAAATCGAAGGACGTTCGGAAACGTCACTTGGCAACGGAAGAAGCTGTAGCAATTAAAACCATGAACCCACCACTGTTAAAACAGAAGAAGATGGTTGCCGCACTCCAGTTGCCTTGGCTCCAACCAAACCTAAGTAATGATCCGAACCATAACCTCAGTCATGTCGTGATGACGCAACATGATGTGACAAATTGCACCTGAACAAAGTCATCGGAAATTTCCAGAATTGACCTTGATCCCCCTGCCCCCATTTTCTCCAATCTCTCCGACTAAACTTGACAGACATGCTTGTATTTTCACATCTAACCTCAATGGACCAATTACATTTATTTCTTTATTAGATATAAACCCACGAAATGGTAAATGCTTGAAGACGAAGTTGCAAAAACAAGATTGTTCGCTACATTGTTGGTCTTTTGAAATCTAGATGCCTTAGAGCTTAGGGACAAAAGATCCACTCCTTACCTTACAGTCTGATTTGCAATAAAAATGGGTACGGTGTGCTCAGTTATCATGGGTATTAGAACATTCTTTCGCTCCGGCGCCGAATCCCAAATCGCCTCCACCTGCGCCGCCACCACCACCACCACTAATAATTCTCACCGTATTATCTGAGAATTACTTTACCTCGAAGCTTCAGACATTCATGCAGTGTAAGCTCAAATGACCAGAGACTTTGTTCACATGACTGTCACACTGGACCACATCTAAAACCTTCATTGTTTCTCTATTGAAGTGCAAGTTCACCCACTCCGACTTTTTACGATTAACTAGCTCGTGTTTGTCTAACTAAGTCGTGGACTTTAAACAAGATGACCCCCTCTTCTATTCAAAATTCGTGCAGACCGATTTTCAGACATCTTTCGCTGCACTCAATCATGCACGAACACGATGCGAACAGGACATCATCATGCTGTGAGATACCAATGACTGCTGGCCGGACACTAACTCAGCTAACTGCATCTAGTATAGCTATCCTATACAGTGAATGCAGGTTAGGAGCTAAAGTTGATAATACTTGTGGTCAATTTCAAAATTTGTATTCAGTTTGTCCTGGATTGAAGGAAATCAGTGGTTGACAGAAGGAATAAAACTAAGCAGCTGTGTTGTTTTGTTCTGATCAAACCGAAAAGATTGTTCTTGTACACACAATAATGACTGTATTCTTTTCACCTCCTTTCACTTAGGACAAAGGCAACACCGATCATTGTGTAGCGGCCCTGGGGAATGGTGTCCATCTTTCTCACTTTCTGCACTTCCCACTTTCTCCACCAGACACACTCATTTTCCTGACTGGTGAGGGCATAATTAACCTTAAACAGATAACATATTGAGCAAATCATGATGAATATTGCTACTAAATTTATTAAATGGGATAGACTCTAGCCGTTCAGCAGTGACCTGGGTGCATGAGGGTATGAAAACACTAACCAAGAGACTGGGTCATCTAGGTTCCGTTAGGCTCCCTGGCTGGAGTCCCCAAGATCGTGGGCACCGAGGGTTAGAAACAGCGACATGGTTGAGTGTCGCAAACAGTGGCGCTCATGCATCTACTCATCATCTACATCAGTCTAAATTAATTCTCTATCTTCCGCTTGAATTTGCTATCAACGTTCCAATCTTCATTCTGCTCTTTTATCCAAATGGGCAGCCAAAGACAGCAACTAGAACCGACTGGTTAATAGTTGTAGAACTGAAAACTGAAACGGGGGCATATATAAAGGGGTAAAATCAGGTAGCTATAGAAGACTTTTAATTCATGAGCTCCGGGTTGGTTGAGAGTAACTTTACCCACCACCGATCAATCCTTGAGGAAATCTAGCTTTAAACGAATACCTAACACAAGCATAAAAACACTTCAATTCCGATTTATACGAGATTAGCCAACGACTTTGCAATAAATTTCCTTTGTCCCCAAGAACGACAGGAGGATAGGTGCTTCACTGGATTTTTTTACCCAATTTTAATTACAGTATTACAGTATCATTGAATTTTCATCATCAGATTTCTTTCCTTTTCTTTGAGGTCGTGCAAACAATGCAGTTTCAGTATCCAAAACACTGTAATTTATATTTCCGATCCAGTAGTCTACCCTTCGGAAGTCCCCGAACGGCTTAGTTTTTTCTGTTGACCTGACAGTTTAAGCGATGAATGCGTAACGGCCAAGCACAGTTTGACGCTGATAAGCAATACCGTTCCTTAGCTGGTTTCAGGTCCCAGTGGAAATCGTTACTACCCTCGTTATCCTTTTATCCTATACACACTGTAAAGTGATTGAACGGTTTTAAGGCAAACACACTAAAACAAACACTTCGTCTACTATTTCTCTCATTTGGCAGTTAAGAATTGGAAAGGAACATGCTTTGGTTTCTGTCCTTCTGTATTCCGAACGCCTATTCCTGGCTATCAACCCTGAACGAGTGCAGACTTTGGACCAGCTTCTGATGGCCATCAGAAAGTTACCGCATCTAGGCGGGCCAAGTTCTAAAGCCAATTTGGCCGGTGCTGTTACTGGCACTGTGTCAGCTGCATTCCCAGTCAGAACGAACGAAACTTTAAACGAGGCTGTACGCGTCGTTATTTTGATCAGTTCTGGAAGATTGGCGCAATCTGAAACCGTGTCCGACTACCCGACGGAAAAGATATCTGTATTTCCCAACCGCTTGCAGTTGGGACATCACATTGCATCGATTCAGCCAGTTGCGAACACTGTCACTCTGCAACCGGAGGCCAGGGAGGACGAGAGACTGAAGAAACTCGGTGAATTATTGAAAAGCAGAATAGACTATGTGTTCAGTATCGGTCTGAAGGGAGCCTATGAGCGTGGTATTCAATTGTTGGCAAATAGCGTCAAAGAGCACGCGTTTCTAGTTGGAGAAGCCGATCCATCCTATGCAGGTCTATCGTTGGATAATTTTGACCCGAGTTTAATACTTTGTCCCGATCCCGGTGAGTCCTATGTGTTTTCACATCCAGAGATAGATTTTTCCGGTTGAACTACCTGATGACTTCCGGGGGAGGGTACTTTTAATACGAAATGTGTGGCCCCTTTCGCATGGGTTCCAACGCCAATCTGATGTGGAGGCAGAAGTACCGGCTTCTGGTGTAGATTTCGAAGTATTTTGAGTAACAATTTAGAGTATCAAGCTTGAATTAGCCCATTCGATTGTTCAGAGGCACCAGGCACTCTTGATGATCTTGGTGTGGGAGATCGTTAATTCCCCACGGGACAATGCATTCAAATGCGATGGAAAGGTTTGTGATAACCAACAAAGAGCACTGGACAGCTATTTCGTCCATCTACCATGGGTCGTGTAGCTCAGGAGTAAGGGTTTGAAGTCTCGACCCGACTGATCGCGGTTTGAGTCCTGACAAGGACACAAAAAGTACGCGCTGCTGACGAGTCGCAAACAGGATGAAACAGTTGTCCAGTGCTTTGTTTTCTATCACAGACATTTCCATCGCATTTTGAGTAACACTCTGAAAGAATGGTTATAACCACATTCTTCTCTTAATTTCTTTTAGTTCGATGACACTGTCGGATATTCGGTAGATAAATTTCATTTTGAATGATGAGGAACAAGCACGTTTCCAGTCATGAGAACACAAAATAGTAAACAAGCTCGTTTTCGGTGCTACCTCAACTGGCTAAATACAACACAATTTATAACAGATTAAAACAGGTGGGGAGAGGAAACAAATATTCGCGGATGAAATCAGAGTTTAAGGAGAGCTGATAGACTTGTGATAATTGATGGTGGTGAGTATGTATATCTGTGTATGCGTGGAAAATGAGAGACAGATAGTGGTTGTGAATAAGTGGGTAGGTGAATGAGTATTGATCATAAGCCGAGGTTACATCAGCAGATTGTGGGTGGATGACCATGGTAAGACCAATGTTATTATAAAGTGGTTCTGGGCGCACAAGGGTGTGTGTGGAGACAGATGGCAATCACCCCGGCTGTCGAAAAATTTCTGAGCTTGACCTCTTTCGATAACCAACCCTCGACCGTGTAAAGAGAACGGAAAGCCTCAAGCCCATTGACTGTGCGATTAGACTCAGTCGTAATTGCCACCGTTCCGGTCCTTGTCAGTCCCTGATTCAGACAGACGCCTCACCGTTCGACCCACATAAATTGATAAACACAGAATGAGATCGCATCCGGGGGTAATATATCTTTAGTCCGCATAAAGAGGACCGGTATGGACGTGAATATAATGTGGGGTTCAGTCGCAAAGTAGGTGAAGTTGATAGAAGATTGAATTCGTCTACTCAATACTTTCGCGGTCGTTTCTCTCCTGAATAGAATGGATAGATAGACACGCTTCTTATTTGCTGTCTCACATGATGTCTTGGAGGGATATGACGTCATGTTTTTATGAATGAATGACTCAATATATCCATTCTCTAGTCAAACATTTCGTATTCTTCCCAGTTCAAACTCGACAGAGTCCGAAGAGCAAAGTTTCCTAACTCTATTGGCTAAGCAGCGAATCAAATTTCTCTTCTTTTGCAATCAGACGAAGCTATGATAGTGTATGCTGTCCCGTCCATGTTTTCTTATATTGAATGCTTCTACGAATAGAGCCATTTGATCGTCGAGACAACAACACGTCTAGAAATACGAGACCATTTATGAATTTCTTTTCCAGCGTGAAATCTATTTTCAGATGAGCTCCATTGAATTTCTCCAACAGGATATCAGCATCCTTGTCAGCATCGTATACACATGTGATATCATCCACATGTCGTTTGTAGATGGGGAATTCTTCTATGGGTTTTGAGAGTGCTCGGTTTTCTAAGTTGGCCATGAAAATGTCTGTTAATAGTGGTCCTAATGGCGAACCCATGGCGATTCCATCTTTCCTTCGCAGATATTTGTTTCCTCTCCCCATCTGTTTTAACCGGTTATAAACTGTGTTGTATTTAGCCAGTTGAGGTAGCACCGAAAACGGGCTTGTTTCCTATTTTGTGTTCTCTTTTCCAGTCCTTCGTAGTTCAGGAAATGCATCACAATAAATATATTAATGTATCTGTATCACTACTGTACCCTGGCGATTGTTTTGAGAAAGGGAAAATTCACATCAGAGACGATATGGGCTAATTTCGACGGGATATTGGATTTTCATTGATCGCATGAATGCTTGATCAGAATAAAGTACCTGGTTTGTTTGTACGGTGAATTTCGCCCTGCAAGAAAATGAAGAGTGAACTGAAAAGTTGGGAAGCACCACTGTACGGCCGTCTCGACCTGGTTGGGTCTCGTTAGCATTGCAAATTCACCGATTCGACTGTGGATTGAACCCGGGACCTCACAGGTAGAACACAAGCATGTTACCCGCTCAGCCGCCGGGCAGGTGATCAGAGGGATTTTCGTTTTCCATATAGTACAACCAATATTTGCGAGTTTGTTGCAGGCATCGCACCTTATGCATCTTTTCACCAGATCGAGACAGTTGTCCAGTGCTTCATAGCTTTCTGGTTCACGTTTCATTTGCTCTTCACCCGAAAAAATCACCATATGATCACATGTTTACTAAATCATCCGATCGTCGAGACTACTCGAAATATGGGGTATGGCGGCTTGGACCAGGAGAGCTTAACCCTTGTCCCACTTATTTGGCGTGAAAAGAGGGGAGTTGGACAGACGAATTCTTACCGCTTCCATCGTAGCAAGAATACCACGGTGAACATGTTTTGCTAGTCGACCATAAACCCTACACAGAAGCGGAATGCTTTGGTGACATTCGCAATGTACTTCAGCCAGGTGTGAAACCACTGTACTAGTGAATATCGTGCAACAAATAAAAGGATGGGATAGAAAAGGTCGAGGGCGAAATCACGGATCTACTGAAGGCTCTAAAGTTACAGGGGCACATAGACAATGCTGCATTCCAAAGGCTGAAACCATGTGGGTCCACCATCCCGCGATTGTGTGATTTCCCTAAGATCCACAAAGAAGGAGTTCCAATAGGACCAATTTTGGCAGTCATGAATTCACCATTTCACACAACCGCACAGTGGCTGGTCGAATTACTAG